TCGCACATACTATTATGTATGTACCGTAAATGCTTTGCATTATGCGCCAAAGTACTAAGCATGTTACATACAGGCGTTCTTTCTTTGGCATGACCATCTGAGATAGCATGGTCATTCATACATTATGTCTAATATAAGCATTAGGGTGGTTCTTTAAAACGTTTTACCGATTTTTTTATTCTAAACACTCAATGGCTAACACTATGGATTATTATAAAATTTTGGGCACAAAAGAAATTATTAGGGTGGGCTGTGAACTGGTTGAAGGCATTAGGATGGTTCATAAAATTTGGTGTTATCGATATTTTTATTCCAAATATCAAGTGTACATAACACTATGGATTTCTTATAAAATTTTGCACACATTAGGGTGGATTGTAAACTGCTTGAAAATCATATTATTATTTATTAGCTAAAATTTTTACTAGGGTGATTCACCGAATGTTAACTGTTTAGTGTTTTTTACAATAGGGATTACTAGGGTGGGTTGTAAACTGCTTGAAATTCATATTATTATTTATTAGCATAATATTTATTTAGGGTGGTTCTTAAAACACCGAATATTAATTTTTTAATGTCTTTTACTCCCAATGGAGATTATTAGGATGGACTGTGAACTAGTTGAAATTCGTATTTTTATTTATTAACTGAAAATGTTTACTAGGGTGGTTCTTAGCACAACGTGTTTTTTTTTTTTTGTTTTTTTTTTTTTAAACTCGCACACCAAGACGTTAGTACTGGATGTAAAGTTGATTTTTACAAAATTTGGTTCATTTAAGGTCAGCCAAAGATGTGCCAAAATATTAGATTTCCCAATGGTAACTCAAAAATTTAAAAACATAACACAAAAATTTAAGTTTTCTAGAAAATACATACGTGAGAAATGTCGCAAATGGTCAAACTGAAAAGAAATCTCTTTCGAGCCCATACTTCGATATTAGTAACTCATCAGCTGAGTACTTATTTTTTCTCTTCTCAAGAAAAATATACTTTTGGATTGTAAACCTAATAAAAAAATTAACACCAATTTTTGCAGCTAAGCATTTATAATTTTAATTTCAACTTCTTACTGATATTTTAGACTGCATTAGTATCGCCAACGTCGTTAATATTTATGAAATTTGTTTTAAAAATTTATTTATAAACTTTAAGAACCACCCTAATGTATAAGAGGTGAAGTCCACAAAAGAGATCTTAGATTAAATCAACATATCCATGAAGATTTATGTTAATTAAAAATATTTAAAAACGTTTAAACCTATTTAGGAACCACCCTAATTTGTATATAGAGTGCGTAATTGCCATCTACAACTATATTAACCCCGTCTTACAGGTTTATGTTTGGAAAATTTATTAATGAAGAAATTTCACTACATTTAAGAACCACCCTAAAGTATATTTATTAATTATATAGGCATATATAATTTCTTCGACAATATTGCTACTAATATAAGTTAATATTAACACCGTTTTACAGGTTTAAGTTTGGAAAATTTTCTTAAAAATAAATTACTATACATTTAACAACCACCCTAAATGATATATATTAATTTCATATTCATAGATACTTTCTTCGACAATATTGCTACAAATATAAGAGTTAAACCTTAGAAAAGCTGACCAAAAATTAAACTTTTCCCTTTCGTACCACCCTACACGCACGCATAAAGTATGCACATATACAAATGGATCCACGCATGGACGCCGGTAGCGTTGCACTGCAACATTCAATTATATTCTAATGCATAAAAAATTCGAACTTACTGTTCCTCATGCCGGCATTTTCGCAGCATTTTTTTTTTGTATGTTTTCGCCGTTTCGATTACATTTACTTTGAATCGGTATTTACGATTTGTGATTTTATGCACGCGTCCGGTGCCAGCGGCATTTGTAAGCAATGCACACGGAGTTCGCACTTAGCAAATTAGCAAATGTTGTCTAATGCATTATTAATCGCATTTTAAGTGCAGCAATTACAAGCTGAAATTTTCAGAAAGCGCAAAGACGACTTGCCATAAGCAAAAACACATTGTTGGCTTTTGATGTGAGCGTTTTCCACACAACAAACATACGCGTATATACATATGTATGTATGTGGATGTAATTTATGCTGCCACATTGTGGGTTACTGGTATGCTCTCGGTCAATTGAAGACAACAAACGAAGATTGGTCAGACAAGCAATATGTCAAAGGAAATGATATATTAGTATGTACGTTAATGGAAAACGCAACCACATGCAAATATTGATCTTTATGTCGTAAAAATTGCAATTAAGTCATCAAAGCATAACGACTTAATTTTTACAAATCTGCCAATTAACGAACTGGATCTCAAAAGCAGTATAAATGTTTTTCTGTTGGCGTTTTAAGCAGTAACTTTTATCATATTTATACCCTAAACAGGTTGCACTAAGTATGTAGCTACCAGAAGAAAACGTCAGTGACTCTGTAATATTTATATATAAATGATTAGAGTAACCAGCTCGATTGATTTATTTATGTTCGTTTATTTGACCGCGCATCTGTCTGTGTATACCCGATTTTGTTTCCATCAGTATTTGAGATTTCGATCTGAAATTTTGTATTGTATGTCTTCTTCTCCCTAAAAAGTTGCTGATTGCAACAGCATATACATAGCTGTCATTGACATACCGATTAAGATATCTTCGTAAAAAATCTTTTTTCGCATTACGTAACCATATTTCGACTTGAAAGCTTTTCATTTCTAATATGTTATTTATTTAAAGAAGTAGTAAGACGTCTTTCATTGCATGCATAAAATTTCCCGTTTGCACCTTCAGATGTAGTTATACAAAGCGTTGCTATAAGAAATCCACCTGTGAAAGGTATTATCGCTGCGGTGCAGCCGAAGTTAACGCTTTTCTTGTTTTTTATCATTGATTCTATGAACCATAAAAGTTAAAATAAAAAATATAACTGGCTCAAAAGGTTGGTCGATGTTTAAGACGAATGCGGTCAATGAAAATTTATCTCAAAGTCAAGCAAGCATAAAACTGGAGAAGAATTTAAAGAGTTTTTTTAATAGACACGTTACAAAAGTAGAGCAATGGGGACAGCAAACGACACTATATTTTTCCCCGCTCTTTTAACATTTCTCTGCAGTAAGATTCGCCTTTTGATCATTGATAGATATACGATTCAACAATGAGTTGAAATTATTAAAATTTACTACCCAAACTCTGAGTTTAGTGGCCAAAATTTCAAGAGCGCTACATAAAATTTATGATCATCATAATCGTCCTGACACATCAACAATTGGGTGCCTAGTGGGAAAATTTGAAACCACAGGCACAGTACAAAATGTGCCCGTGTCATAAAGACAAAAAAGTGCCCGTAGTCTCGAGAATATTGCCGCTGGCGCATCAATTAGGGGAGACCCAAATCAGTCTCTCACAAGTCGTTCTCAAGCGTTGAGCATCTTTAAGGTCATTGTGGCGAATTTTGCGAAAAAATATTGGTCAACATCCTTACAAGATCAAATTGACGCGAGATCTGAAGTCGCTTGACCACCAGAATCATCGTATGTTAGTGAATTGGACTGAACAACATTTTGAAAATGAACCGGATTTTCCGGAAAAAATTACAATTTTCTGCGCCCGGCGACGTCTTTGAACCATACTTCTTCCGTGATGATCAAGACTGGCACATTACTGGGAATAGGAATCGCTCCAGCTCAATGATTATACGGATTATGTGTGGTTCCAATAGGACGGCGCCTTTTATTGAAAACCGAGTTTGGTGAACGTGATATGTCATGAAATGGCCGAGTGGAACAACGTCAATTCTACGGTCTATGCCAACAATCCAGCGACGTTTGCTGAACTTCGTACAAATAGCGAATGTGAAATTGCAGCAGTGTCGGCCGATTTAACCTTGAACTTCGGCTTGAAAACCGCCGAAAATTGGTTAAAGCGCATGGACTTTTGCAAGTATGCCCGTGGTGGCCATGTAAAAGAAATCGAGTTCGATGCATAATGGCATTGAATGTACTTTCAAAGGAATATAGAACTTCATTCATAACCCGAACCGTTTTTGTTCTTTTGTAACGCTCTTATTGATAAAATCCTTTATAACAGACTTTCATATCTACTCCGTTTCACTAGAAAGTTTCAAAATTATTCATCTTTTTATTTTTTTTCAATTGTGAATTGCTGAATTTTACACAACACTTGTCGACTTTACCAGGCCTTCACAAAATATGCAGCACCTAACATAAAGTAGGCCTAAAATATACCAGTTTTTCTATAAAAACACACACCAGGTCATAAAAGTCTGCACACTAAATTAACATGTCACATATGCAGATATGTATTTACGTATGTATGTATGTAAATGAAATGACTTTTTAAATAGTTTAACTTGGCATCTGTAAATTACAGCCGATTACGATGACTCATTTGAAGAACTAATGGCCCCATTAATGTGTCTAAAATGCGGTCAATGCTAAGTATTCATTAACGCACCAATAATACACACATATTTCACTACTCCTTTGGAGCTTATTTTTATTACATACAGGGGCGTAGCCAGCGCTGAAGTTGCGTGGGGTGCTTGCTTAATCAAAAAATATTCAAAATATGTGAAGAAAAGACAAAAAAATAAAAGAACAGAGTTAATTGATTTTGAAGCAATTCCTTAAATTTGTTACATAAATTTTGATGAAAAGTCGTAACAATAAATAATTATAAAAATTAAAATTTGTACTTCAGGAAGCGCGATTTCACTTTTGTATAGACTGCGCCCCTGTATAGACACATACACACGTATATCTGCATATTTACGGCAACTGATAGTGGCTTCATGACATCAGGCTCATCCAAATGTGCTCTAGGGTTATCAGCCCAACGGCCTAGAACGCGAAATTCTTCTATACAAACTTTCATATGTACGCTTGTACTTCTCACAAACAATAACAATTATATAATATATATATAAAAATAATTTTATAAAAAATAAGTTAATTGAAAGCTGCACTTACATCATCATTCTGGCGCTGCTGCGTAGCTGGTGCTGCCGCCGCAGCCATAATCAACGGCGTTGCCGTAGCAGCTGCCGCTGTAGCGCTGTATTTAGCATCATGACGGGCACGCAAAGCCATCATTCGACGCTGATGTTCTTGTTGCTTGCGATGGTGCTCTTGCCGAATGCGCTGCCACTTTTCGCTAGAAAAGTCCATCTCACTATTGTCATCAACGGAGTCGACACCGAAATTAGCATATGTATTGCCAGCATTGCCGCCCGATACGGTGCGCCGGCGCAACGACATATATGGGTGCGGTGAATAGTCGCGCTTCTTGGGTGGCAAGCGCAAATCGTTAAATGGATTGGTGTAACGTTTTACGGCGCTGCGATGTTCGCCATCATACATGTTGTTAACGTTGGGAAATTCATTTGCACTTTGCGCCGCCTCCGTTGAGTCCTCCTCATACGAATAATCATCGTAATCATCACTACTGCTATCGTTGTCGTCATTAACAATTTCACTGTCATTGTCTGCACCAGCATTTATACGCGGCTCATTCGATTTATACTTCTCACTTGCCGCAACCGCTTCGTGTGTGTTTGACTCGTCTTCCGAGTCGGCGTTTAGATTGAGCGAAATCCGCTGACTATCTGTTTGTTTACCACCGCCAGACAAGTGGGTGCTTCGAAAATCTTTTGTACGCCAATAATTCGCGTCCGAGCGCACACGCGGACCTCTTGTTGTCCAGATATAAGAGACCGATTGGTAGAGTCCATCACGATCGAAGTAACGATGCGGTTTTATATGCTGCTGTAAGCTACTGTCGTTGGCCGAGCGCGTTATGGCCGGCAATATATTGGCCTGCTCATTAGTTGTAGCGACGGCAGCGGCATCGTTAACCAACTCGGTGGCTATAGGTGCCACCGGCGGCATTAATGGTGCGCTTGTTACCACTATAGTTGCATCTGCTGTATACTCGGGTTGTTGATTTTGCTGACGTTCCTGCTGATGGCGTTGATGGCGTAAAGGTGGTAGTAGGTAACGTTCCCAGGCGTTGACTGGTGCCACAGAGTGATGCCGCTGATTGTGATGACGCAAGTGTTCTGACGTACGTGGCTGCAGTTGGGACTGGTAATGCATAAAGTTGTTGTTGTTGTAGTTGTTGTCATTGTCGATAGTACCACTATTGTCGCCATTAACGCTGCCATCAACGTTGTTAGCAGTAGTGTTGCTATAATTTCCGCTAAGTTGCTGTTGCAATTGCGTGCGTTTCAAGTCGTTCACGGCCTGCTCAATGCGGTGCGAATAGTGTTCCTGATGTCGGAAGACATGCAGCAGTTGTGGGTCTTCTGCAGACCTCTTAGCCACGCCAACGCTGTCGTCGACGGCAGCCACCGACGAGACAGCATCCACAATTGCTTCGGTGCTGCTGTCAATGCTTGCGTCCGCAGCAGTGGCGACCGCTACTGGCAGTGCTGCGTTGCAACAAAGCATAGCAAATAGTGCAAGGATGTGCCATGACAACGGCGTACGCTTCTTGCCACTTGGCTTGTTGTCACTGGTGTCGTTGTTGATGTGGTTAATGTTGACGTTGGAGCGCGCCATGGCGGCGGTGTGCTTGCCTGGCTGTGTTTGCAGAGATCTTTGATCTTTTTATAGCCCGCGGAGGGTATTTATGGCTTTGGCTTTTACTTTTTTCCCCAATACACTGGTAGTATGTGGTGTCTTCTCTTACTTTTATTTGTAATTTGTATTTTTATTTACTTTGTATTATTGTTACTGCTGCTCCGAGCAGCAGCAAATGCTTGTCACACGGTTTGCTAGTTGCCTTAGCAACGTTACGCTTACCTTCGTTGTTGGCGCGCAGGTTTGCAATAAAAATAACACTACACTAACAACATTTGCACATTGCATCATACCAAGGCGATGTGTTCGAAAATCATAACTCTTGTGTTTTATGACCAAATCGTCGCCTTTGAGATTTTCGTTTTCGCGTTGTTTGATTTGCACTTTTACGAAACACTTCGGCGCTACATACAACAATTGTACGCAAATATTTTTTATGTTATTTTGTCTCAACAACAAGAAATCACTACACGCGTTGTGGCAGCCGCGTATTTATGTGTCATAATAGTATACGGTGTGATGCTGCTAAAACTTATCACTCGGCGATTCTAGCACTTTGTCTAACACATATGGACATATGCAGTATATATGTAGGTATGGATGTATTTTAACAAAATTTATGCTCTGATGTTTACTAAAAAAAATATAAATTAAAGAAAAATCTTCAAAATGCAAATACATATATGTACTTTACTGTGTATATATACATATATATATATATAACAATACAATAACTACTACATGGGCTCGAAAATCTTTCGCCTAACGATGAGAGACCTAATTTTTTTGAATGAAAACTTGTCTTAGTTCTTCGTCATAACCTCAAGCTGGACCCTATCTTCAAGAATAATGCTTTTGTTGAAATGGTACTCCAAAAAAACCGGTAAAAACATGAAGGTCAAATCTAGCGAATATGTTGAGTCAGAGTCCAGTTCACAACGTAATTTCTTCAATTTATCGATAGTATCAGAAGCTGAGTATATCTGAGCCTAAAAAGCCGAGCATACATCGTGTACAAAAGTTTTTGTTTTATCAAAACTCGTAGTCGTATGACTACACATTCCTTTGAGATGCCGATATTGTTAACGAAATCAAACCGTTACTCAACAAAATTCCACAATTTTCTCGATGCTTTCTGGAGTTACGGCCTTTCAACCGGGTTCTTGCGTTGGTACGGTTACGACAAAATTTACTGGTTTCTTAATTCCTCACTGTTGAGTATTATAGAACAGATTTGCCCTAATTTGGTGTTTTCTTTTTTTTTTCTTTTTCTTTTTTGATTCAGAAAACAGTATTTTATCAAACCACGTAATTCATTTTTTTCTATTGCTAACAAAACTAGAAGAGATCGCGTCACTTTAAGAACAATAACGTGAATAGAAGTGAATAAATTGTTAAGAAACTTCGACAAGATTCTAGTTAAGGTTCTTCTTCTTCTTTATCTGCGTAGACACCGCTTACGCGTTTATAGCCGAGTTCAGGTTACTTGACTCTAAGGTAGGGAGTGCGATTTTTTTGCGCGAACTCTCGGTCAGCCAAAGACTTCTCCGCCCATATAGTACATACAAAACACACACATAAACGCATATTTACAATCACTGCAAATATCATAATACTTCAAATCATAACCTAAAATTATAACACAATGACATTATCAACACATTACACAAACACAATCAATTAATTTATTTAAATATCAGCTGCAATAACACTGAACAGCAGTTCTAAGTTGCGGCTTAGACCAACAAGCTTAGCACTAATGTCGTTTGCTCCTACTGAAGTTGTGTGCCCACTTCAGTTTGCGGACGCATAGCATCTTCCTTCGCGCGTTGGCGTAGCAGACCGCTACAGAATCAGCGGAAAGGCGCACCTTTGCTTGCCAAAGCATGCGACACTAACACTACACCTTTGCATTTATGCAGCTAAAATATTTTTTTTTCATGCAACTTGATTATTTTTTCATAATTTTTTATTTTTGATTAAGTAATATTTCATTATTTTGTAGCACGTAGGAGTTACGGTAAATAGAACCAGCAATAATAGTAAATAATTTATAAACACACAATCGCATACACGTTTACTTAATAATAAACATTGACGCTAGAGACGTCGCCTCACCGTAGCGATTTGTGCCAAATTCATTCACAAAATTCACAAATTGTTGCGCTCGTTCAAAGCGTAATCAGCAACTTTGCCGAAAATTTATTTATACACATGGATGTAAACATATATTACCAAACAAATATAGATGTATGTATTTATGTACACTTGCTAACACATGCCAAAGCACGCTTTTGGTTTAACACCTTTTGTCTTTTTGTTTTATTCTCACAATGCTTATACAAATAAATGTACAGAATGTTGCATTATTGAATAGCAAAAACGTTTTTGTAACAATGTAAGATGCTTGGAGCAATCCGCTTACAATGCGAAAACACACGAAAGGTTTAATGCCGCAGTAGTAACTGAATTCTGATTCGAATAAAACAACCATTCGGCCGCCGCTAGAGTTAACAACAGTCGTCGTCGTTGTCGGCGAGCGTCGGCAACATGTTAACAATGCACTTTCGCAACATCGTGGCGCGACTATGCATGCGCACGATTTACAAAACATCTGTTATATACATGTTGCGTGCGCTGCAGTGTATCATTTTTGCTCAGCAACATTTATGTTGAGCAACATTTGCATAGGTAAACACGTATGGCAGTGTGGAATGTGGAAGCTAAAGATTATGCAGCTGCTAATAAAAAATTTTTTGTTTTTGTAAATTAATTTAATATTTATTAATTTTATTTTAAGTGGTTATGCAAAATATTTTGTTTTACCAACTAAGTTTTTTTTTATTTGTTTAAACTCAATATAAACTTTATTTCGAATTTTTTGAAAAAAGTGCCTTCGCATTGGATTTAAAGCAGTGGTCAGCGAGAGAGCAACTGTGGCTGTGAGAACGAAGTAAGCCAATGAGAACTGTGAACTTAGCCGATGACCTTGAGTGAGTACTGTTATTTTATTATATAAAATAATATATTATAATATAATAATAATTATTTGCAAATATTTTATATAATCATATTTTCTCATTTAAATAAGCAATTTTTACGTTTCTTTCGAAAACGACAGGTGTGAAAAAAGTATACATAAATATGAATTCTCTTTAATAACATGTAAGGTGTTTTGTATTTTTAATAATTTGAAGATACTATAAATGCGATTAACAAAGAAACACGAAAATACTGCACAGCTCGATAGGTAGCGAGTAGGTGGACAATTTAGATCGCATACCATCTTTCTTTGTATGTGAGAGAAGATTTCAAGTCACATAAAAATAAGGCTGATACACCAGCACGGACGGATCAAAAATGTTTGATGGAGTGGGTGCCGAGCTAGCTAACTAGCTTCTTCAGGCTTGAAGAGTTGTACGGAATAATACAGTTTCTTCCAGGCGGAAGTATTCGAGGTTAAGGAAGCTGCTGAGATAGCTATTACCGCACAAAACAACATAAAGAAGACCGGAGCATGCATCAGCTGCTTTGCAGGGTATGTTCGGACAAAAGCATTCCCGGTATTTGAAATTTAAGTATGCTCTGCCCAATCCACAAAGAGGCAGACCGCACAATCGACGACTACAAGTCACTCATCAGTCGGCGTTACGAGTTTTCGAGAGAAAGTGATTACGCTAATAAAGAAGAAGAAGGTTATACCAATTTGATAAGGTTTTAGACCTATACTAAATCTTTTAGTAATAAAAGATCTTTTGAGAACCCTAAGCTGACTTACATAAGTCTTTAAGTAAGTATAAACTGTTGACATATCCACTAATTGACGACAGCAAAAAATGTTGTTAGAAAACGCAAGCAACTATGAAAAATATATACGCAGATAAAATCTCCAACGTAATTTTCTAAACTTAAAAATACTTTATATTGAAAATTAGTTAAAAAAAAATATTTAAAAAAATGTATTTGTATACATATATTTCGTTCAGTGTATAAAATGGAATGTTGCACTTCAATTCGTTTTAGCAACATCAGCATCCGGAAATACCGTCCACAGTCAGTAGGAGAGTCATTTGCTGCCAAAAACATAAACATAAACAAAAACATACAAAACAACAGCGCTAAGCGAGTGAGTGTATCCAGCTCGTTGCACTGGGAAAACACCTTGCGCATTGCACCGACCACCGCTCGCAGCTGAGAGCAGCGCAACATGTATATACTATATACATTTGTTAGTGCGTGTATGTGAGTATGTGCAGGCATGCTAATTATTACACTGTTGTTCTATTTGTGTGTATGTATGTCAGCACGCTGCATTTGTTTATTTGTTTTGTATTCATTGTACTTTTTTTTTTTTTTTTTGAAGTGCGAGTTTGAATTACTCGAAAATTATGAGCTGAAAATGAGATGACATGTGGAAAGTGCCGCCGTCTCAAAGCCCCTAAAATCAACAGACTATTTGGTTAACCCATAATGATACGCATCTGTTTACCGAATGCGTTACTTACACTTTTACTTTATAGCAGCGCACATGTTTTTAGAAAATATTTGTACTTATGTGCATGCATATGTAAATAGAATAAATAAAAACGCTGATTAGAAGCCAAACCAATTTCATAGACGTGAGCATCCAGAAGCGAATAGCTGAGCAGGTGTCATGAACAGGCGTCATTTCAATTGGAACTTTCGCAAGCAAACGAAATACATACATATATACGTACATACATACATATATATTTTTGCTTGTGCAAGTTTGTGAATAGATTTGAACCAGATTGATGGCATAATGCAACAATGTGTGTTTTAAGAAAAAAAAGCAAATGACTAATATACAGTAGGTGCAACGAATAAGTGGACTGTGGATTACACAGAAATATAACAAATAAGATTAATACCATAATTTGAGGTAGCTCTTAATTTTCTTGAATAACATATATGGTGATCCATATATATTTTTTGCAGACTATCTCTCTCAAATACTTGGATTAGTTGGTTCATGCGTTGAGTCCAATTTTCGATGACTCTTTCGAGCATTTCGACTGGTAATTGGCGAATAACACGCGTGATGTTTTGCTCCAAGGACTGCAGGACTATTCGCAAAGACGTTAGACGTGATGAAACCGCCAATATTATAAAACGATAACGGCCGCCATTGACGGTTACGTTATCAGCGGCATAATTTTTGAAGAAATATGGACCAATGATTCCACCGGCCCACAAACCACACCAAGCCGTTGTTTTTTCTGGTTGAATTGACAGCTCTTGAGTCTCTTCAGGTTGTTCCTCGCCTTAAATGTAGCTATTTTGCTTATTTATATACCCATTGAGCCAGAAATGGACCTCAACGCTGAATAAAAATTACTCAAAAACTTCAGATATTTTTGGAACTTTTCAAAAGGCCATAGAACGGAGCGTTGTCTTTTAGGAGGGTCGAGCGGCTTCAGTTCTTGCACAAGCTGTATTTTGTACGCTTTCAGTCTACGATCGAGTTCTCGACTGAAAATGCGTCAAGTCGTTTCATACGTCAGTCCGATTTGATACGAACGACGACGAGTTAACTCTCCACGGTCTTCGTATACGCTCTCAGATACGGCTGCTATATTTTTTTCACGGCGTGCTAGACGTGGTCTATTCGGTCGCATATTATCCGATAATGATTGCTGGGTACCAAGATGGGTGATGGTGTTGCGAATATTACGTTCAGTAAGTCGAGAAGGTAACGTGGGATCTGTTAAAAAAAGGCTATTGAAGAAGTACCTCTACTTGGATCAGGTGATGCTCAAGGTATATGGGGTACCCAACATAATGATGTCCAGCCCTTTCGTTGACTTTAGGTGAATTATTACGGTTAATATGTGTAATGATGATTATAATAAAATTTTACACACCACTGAAATACTGACCCATATTTCTGACAACCTTGAAACAGAAAACTTACGATATAATGTTGACTGGAATCGAACTAAGCTTTTCCTTACTTGTTATGTATTTCTTTTATCACACATTTACCTCAAGATGAACTCTTCAACCGAATTGACACTTGAACAATTTTGCAACCAACTGTATACCAATTTTATTAATGATCACACTTACCATACTCACGTCATGGATGAATGAAGCTATGAACAGCATATATATTTTCTCGTAGGTACATAATACATATATAAATTTACATATTCATATGTATGTAGGTAATATCTTAACAGTATTTATACAGTTGGCACGTCAATCACTTGACTTCTGTGTTGCAGCGTGCAATGTTTTGCTAAGCTTAACGCATTTTATGACCGGCAACTGTTAGGGCCTTAGCACTATTTTACTTAGTGCCGTCGGAAAGTCAAAGTCAGCGATATGGCCAACCCAATTGACGTTGCAATGACGGCTGGTTTTACGCAAATATTTCAATTTATTAACCATTTGCCGTTTCCTTATTACCTGCTGTCCACCGTCAACGAAGGCGTGATCACAGCGACGCGTGGAACTTCACTTCGATATAGTCATATGGTTAGCATAACAAATGTTTCATACTTTAGTTGAAGTCCAAAGGAAGTTGGTGGTAAAAGGATTTTGCCAATCAAACTGAAACTTGTTGATAAATTTTATGACACATTTGACAGAAAAATAAAGTGGTCAATGTAAAGTTGTGGTAGAGTATATCAATGCAACTTTATAGATCTCTTATTATAAATATTGATGTATATATATATACCTATATATACCTAGCGATTATAAGTATTAGGTGATATATGACATGGAGTCCAAAATGGTTCAAGCTGCCTCTAAAAGTTGCGATAATACTCTAATTTCCGAAAAGTAGTTGTACTGGTACCTCGGTCGTGTTTGACCACAATTATAACGTACGTAATGCGTAATTAGATACCCTATATAGACATGTACAGTTTCATAGGTTATAAAGGATAGCCGCTCTATACATTTTATACCTTGAACAGAGTAACACTCAGTATGTATATACGTATGTATAGAAATGATCAACGTGACAAGCTGAGTTGATTTAACCATGTCCGTCTGTAGCCCCCAGCAGGCAGGGGGTAGACTAAATCCAATATGCACTATATCTGTTATTGGCTTTATCAGAAATAATGCTATAATACCCAGTTTGGATTTATAGAATTTAGGGCCCTGTATTTCCTAAGAGAGTAAGTAATAAATGTTCTGAAATTATATTAGCTGCTAGTCGAACAGCTAGAGTTCCAGGTCGAATGATATTACTAATAGTTTCCTTTTGATGAAGAGACATTTGAAGTTCAAGCGACAAATCTCATCTGTCGTTGAGTTTAACGGTTGTTCAACTGGGGGTATCAAAAGCTACAAGGTGTGACCGGAGACTAAAATCTGATACCACGGAGAGCAGTTAGGCCTTGGACTTCGCTCCAATCTGCTCATTGGACTTGGTCTTTGGAAGAGAGTATTGATAGCTGTGGTTTAAGCCTGAAGGGGGGTTACATTGAAAACCCAGTACAGTATGAACTTGCACTACGACCGGGTACCGGAGTCACAACAAGACAGAGATTTTAGGTCGGCCTCATACCTGACCAAGGTGAAAAGGTATCCCTTCCACCTGACCAAATGGAACCAAATAATACTTGCAAAAGGCTTGTATTATTTGGGGCGCTGATCAACGCATTGTTTTAATTTATGTGCTTTTAAGCAACGTAGGGTAAAGCTGTCATCGGCAGGTACTCACGTACAAACACAACATCCTTCCGAAACGACATCGCTGCGCACTATGGGAGAGTTCCAAGAAGATACGACGTTTTGAGCTAAATTTTGTTCAGCGATGAGGTTCATTTCTGGCTCAATGGATATGTAAACAAGCAAAACTGCCGCATTTATGACGAAAAGCGCCTGAAGAGATTCAAGAGCTGTCATTTCATCTTCTTCTTTTCGTATTTCTTGAAAAATGATGCCTGTGAGAACGTAATCTTCAATGGCGACCGTTATCTCTAAAAAAAAATTTAGCTAAGAAAAGTAAAAAAAAAAATTTAAGCATCACCCTAATGTATGTATATGTATAATATTTCTACAAATCAAATATGCTAAACATTTTTGCATATCTTCTAGCCGAAATATAAAATGTAATTTTAATTTTTCCATTTTGATGTCAAAAGCCAGTGTCATACTGATTGGTGAAAGTTTATTTGTGTCACTGTATTTTTGTTCTATTTCTTATACGAGTATACGCTGCCAGCTTGTTACGAAATCTAAAGTTGCCAGCACACAAATGAAAAATGGTATTTTTATCACACTTCAGTCTCGTCAATTTTTAATTTTAATGGCATAGCCGCTTGTGGTGTGTCTTCTGCGTAAATACACACATATATTTATATTCATGTAGGTGTGCGTGATTAACACACATACTCGTCGAACCAGAAATCATCGCCTTCAATTCATTAAAGCTTGCGGTAGGTCGGAATATGAAATAAACTTGTGTGTGTAAGGCTTTTGCATTTCTAATCACTTGAATGAAATCTGTGCATATGTATTTATGTACATATGCATGAACAAAACTACATTAAATATTAATATTAGCCGAACTTTTCTAACTAGAGTGTGTCATAGTTTTTATTTAGAAATAATTTCTAGTCTAGCAGTACTTATGTTTGAAGTGCTTCTGCACGCAGTATTTCTAATTATTTTTTCAGTTGAGGCATAAGCCTAAATTTAAATTTGTGTCAATCGGCTAGAATTCGTGACCATGTGGCGCTGTATGGAAACCATCAACGTTTGAGGAGGAAAAGTTCGAGCACAAAAAGCAAAACTTCCCTATGTTTCTGCTTCCATGTGCCTACACCATATGGAGAATAGGTACTTGTACGTATGTTCATATAAACACTCAGTTTTGAAAATCTCTTGTGTGGACAGCATTTTTTTTGGAATTTATGACTATCAAAATTTTATTACCTGCAAACCATACTAAATAATTTTATATTCCAATTCCCTAAATTCACGGGGTTTCCACTAATTGGTAATCTAAACAATAACTTGTATTTGGTAATCATAATTAACAATTATTTCTTCTTCTTTCTGGAGTGCATTTAAGACTCTTGACAGTAAACCCCTACCAACATTCCACAAAGCTTTGACCCATCCGTAAAGAAGCTCACTGCCGTTTATTCATACCCATTACTCTCTCGCCGGTAAATGGGTAGAGAAGAAGTCGCCAAAGTTCGGTTTTACAACACCATGGTCCAAGTTATCCGGTATGAAGCCAAAGTGAGTGAGGATTTCCGAATGGTCAGACATGGGTACATTTAGGAATCCAGACTCTCTGAGTCTGATAGCAACTTTCGCAGTCATACACCTTCCGGCGATGTCTACAGGCAGGACATACTGATACTGATGACTTGTACGCTATCGAGTTTCTTTGCTAGTATGGTAATTGCTAGCGCCCACCACCATGTAAAAACGTTGAGCCAGCGGACCACTTTCGGTAAAAACCCCTCTACAGCAGTACAAGGCAAACGATGCCTTTTATGCTCTCTCTTCGTTATTCGCTTCCATGAAAGCTTCCTATCCAGGATGAGTTCTAGATATTTCACTGTATCCGTTGGTTGCAAACGAATATTTCCCATTTCGGGTTGCGGTGCCACCAGAATTTTGTATCTTCTAATAAATAATAACATCTCGGGTTTATTTGGGCTGAGGGCGAGATGGTTTTCGACTGCCCAATTTATAACGATGCTGAGATAACCTTGCGTCAACTCGTAAATGGAACTCAGAAACTTTCCATTGACTATAAGCGCTACATCATATGCTTAGGCAATCACCCAGCTGCCATGATATTCAAGTTTTTTAAACAGGTCGTTAACGATCAGGCCCCATAGAAGAGGAGGRAGAACTCCACCCACTAGGGTTGCCTTACTCATTTTTCGTCGGTTACGTACATTTCCTCATTCGGTTTCAATCACTTTGTCGCACAGAGGATTGAAAATGAGGTATTTGAGATTAGATTCAACCACAAGATCGTCCAAAACAGTTACGACTGCTTCCGCCAGGACGTTATTGAAAGCRCTTTCTATATGACAACACGATAGTATGCTGGGTAGTATCCACTGACCTGCCTTTACAATAAGCATGTTGCTCTCCTGATAAATGGTCCCACGGAATGCGTCTCCTTATGTACCACTCCATCAGTYATTCCAGTGTTTTTAGCAAGAAAAGTAATTTTAACGTTAAAATCACAAATTTTCAAAATAAAGTCAATTCCAAACTAAACATATTCATATATATTATATATGTACATACAAACATATATASATATGTGATAAACATTAATATTCTCATCTCATTTTTATTCAATCGAACAAGGGTAGCTTCTTCTAATAAATTAGAAATTAAGCTCTATAATTAATTATCGCTGAAATAAGAAAATACGGTTAACCGAAATCAACCACTAGAATCCTCTTTTTCAATCATGTCGAAAAGCGCGGTTATGGTGAATGAAAAATMTAATAACCCTTYTCARCAAATATTACACACATTCATWTATAYATTTACATACACATATACACATAACAGTGCCACAACATAAGTTATACGTTAATTTTTTTACTCACTTGTAAAGGAATTAATTTCCAAGCGTTGACAGCTCAAATTTAAATTTTTATACATACAAACATTCCTTTAATGTTTGAGAAAAAAAATTGTAATCAGTTATAGAAACAGATCAATTCAGTCTTTTACTGCCTTTGGCACTATGTCAACTTTAAAGAACCAATTAACCTTTGTAAAAATGTTAAAATATGCATTCAATAGATTTAAGCCGCGCGCACAAGAACGGTATTTCAGCATTACATAATGCATACGAAATATACCGATAACGCATTAACATAAAAATACAAATGATTTACCATATCACGGATATCCTTTGAAATTTACGTACAAACAGTATATCTCACTTGCACGTTATACATATGTATGTGTGTAGCTCGGTAAGGTGGACAGATGAGCTTAACACGTATGCAAATTATCTTGGTGTTAACACATATATAMTGGGCTGTTCATTTGATAGAATTCCATCCTTTTTGTATCTATTAATATGTACATACATAAATGTATGTATAAATGTGTGTTGGTAAATATTTTATTGTTGCCACAACACCCTTTGTAGAGAGGTGTATGACAATTTGAGAAAGAGCACTTTCGCTATTCATAAATAAATTTCAGAGACTGCCTGTCGTATACATTTGTACATGCATACATACATACATACGTAGTATAGTATTTATATATTAAACAAGTAAGGATGGGCTAAGTACGGGTGCAACCGAACATTTTATACTCTTGCAACTTGCAGCAATCAAAGCCATGAAGCTACCTTAAGGTGAAAAATATCAACCAGAGGATCGGAGTCCAATATTACGCCCGATTTTAACTGTTTAAGAAACATGCCCTCTCATTTTCTTTGAGATAACTCACAAGTTTGCCGATGTATGCAGAAAAAAGTCAACCGAAAGTTCGAAAACATTTATTTTAGGTACATGAGCGCCAAAAGAAGTACAGATCCTATTCAACCAATTTTTGACCCACAGCCATAATATTATAAGAATTTGCTTGGAATTCAATTATATACCTCACACAKTGGCCGAAATATTCTGTCAAAAGTCAACCATAGGTACTGGAGTATTCGGTACCTAGGGTTCATAAGATTCTGTTCTGTTGTCATACTTAAAAGGCAATATTCGTGCAAAATTTTATCTCTCTACTTGTATTAATTGTTTCTTGATTTGTATACCGGCAAGGAAGGTATTTAAAATTGTATTATACAAGTATATGTACATTAATAACCTATTTCATCTGATGATTTATCTTGTTTTCTAAAAAGGTATTTCACAGTAATACATATGTATATAGTAAGCACATTTACTTTGAATTTCATCACCTCATCTTTGACTTCGTACTCGTTAAAAATATATCTGATCTTCTTCTTCTTAGTTACGATATAAATACGAGTATATTAGTCTGTCTTGGATCTAGTCTAGTGAACTGTTACGGTCCAAAAAAACGGGTGTTTTTAGGCGTATAATTTTTATTGGGGCAATGTGTTTTACGGAGTTGGTCTTCTTGATAACTGTTAGATTGGTTTGCTATTTCATAACTAAAGGTTTTACTCGGGAACAACGTTTACAAACTATTTAAAGTTATTACTAAAATAATGGTTAAGTTGGGGCGTCCGATATACGATTGAAATAATCGCTCATCAGAGTCGGTCATTCGAGCAACCATCGATCGCTTTTGCAAAACATTTACCCTAATGGATAATGCACAATCTCATAGACGGCGTACAGTGCGCACCGAATACGCTATTTCTGCTGTGGAGTATCGACGAATACCCGAAGGAATTCATTTGCTATCGCGCGTAGCAATTGGAGCTGTGCCCAACGACTTTATAGAGGATTTTACGGAAGCACATTCGGTAAATGTGCTCAAAACAAGGTAGCCACCGATCCCGATTTGCAAACAATAATTTTGTTGAGCTATGAATCTCACTTTTTTTGATAGGGTATGTTAAAAAACAAAATTGTCGCACTTGGAGTGATGATAATTGACGAAACACTGTTGAGACGCCATTACATCCTCAAAATCTTACTATTTAGTGAGCTCATCATAATTTTTCTTCAAAAACGAAGTCGATCATATTGTTCCGCTCAAAAGGGAGCAATAGATGCGTGCTTAATAACTCTTTTGTTCCTGAATTGGAGGAGGTTGACAAACCTATAAAATTATTGAATAAAATTAATGAGAATAGAGAGACAAAGATAAAAGTTGACCCTGAGTGTCCTGATGGGCCTAAAAGAGTTTTGAATTCTTTGTGAAGGGTTATAAGAATTATACTGCCAATATACTGCCAACAAAACAGTCAATTTCTTGAAGAAAACTTTTGGTGAAAGCGTAATCTCGCGTAATTAGCCTGTGGCTTAGTCTTCAAGATGAAACTATGGGAAGTCGCTAGTCTGCACAGATAAATCTGAGGCGATTGACAACTGGGAACAGAATAGATATTGCTGAAATAGGGCCGCAATTGATGCAAAAAATTTTTGAAACTCTTGGTTGAAATTTATTAGAGGACAACTTGCCCGAAAYAATAATTAAATTAAAACATAATGATAAGAACCCTTATATTTGCGATAAAGCTAAGTTCTTACCATTTTATTTCTGTCTTGAAAATCACATGTCTACAAAAGCACCTTCTTACAATATTTGTTACTAGTGAGCAATTTTTCAAAAACTAGCAAGTTTATATGGTTTCAGATAGATTTTCCTTACTCCCAAAGGAAACTGTTAAAGTTCGGTCCCCTTTTTGATTCTAGACTGGCCTAACCTCTTAAAACATACTGCTAAACGATGTTGCAAGCCACAAATATGTTTACAAAARCRAAACAAAAGGAAGAAAATAATTTCTTTGAATATAATTAACAATTAGTTGCTTAAAATACACGGTCCTCCAAATTAAATTATAATTGATTACCTGTTGTGTTCATTGAGCTTTCCTTRTAGAAATCCGACCGTGTCGAAACTGCGGCCTGCGATGTGTATCTTTAGTAAATAAGTATATATATACATGTGTATGTCTACAAATGGACACTATGGACACACAGCATACGTGTATATGGATTAAGGTGATTCTTAACTATTTAAATAACTGATTTTTAACATTTTCTAAATTTCAAAAAACAAAGAAAGAGCAAACAAGAAAAACGAATTTCTTCAGAATGACTCGATAGTAAYTTCTTGCCACATTTAAGTGACACCCTAATGTATACACATATATACATACATATGTTTGTAYCTATKTGTGTGAGGTATTAYAGAAAAGCATTATTGCTCTTCCTTCAGTGTCATACGCTTTGACCTAGAACTCTGAATGTGAGAATGCACTGCATCGATGCAGAACAAAAGGATTATTGTTTACAATCTTTCCACCAGATTAGTCTACGCTGTCTCAGCGCTACCGTTGTTACAATAGACGCCGAATTGTAGGGACTGCACACTGTTTACCTTTTGCACAGTGGACAGAGGAGAACGCAGCGGAAAGCAGCGCTGAGTTCAATGAACGCTGCAACAAATATTTGTTGTGAATGTGTTCTAACTCACGTAAACACGGTGTGTGAGTGTATGCATGAGTGTGTGGACTCATATTTACGAGTTTACGGTATATGCCAACATGTGGCAAGGTACATAACAACATTAGCATAATCCTGTCCTACCAGCGTAGAGTCACAAAGTCTGTTTGTCTAGCAGACAAAAGAGACCGCTGTTTAGTGATATTTTCGAGTAACTTAGAGGTGCGCTAAATGGRTAAGGAACATTTTCAGAAGGGAAAGTTTATCCGTTACTTAAGATAACTGTTTTGTTTTGTTGCTTCAAAAAGAGGCTGTTCGTAAAAGTATCTTGAAAGGCTGTGATTATGTTATTCTTGTTTTTGTGGACAAAAAGAAATTATCTTCCATATCCATATTCCATATTTAGATAATTATTTTTAACGTGTGAATTATATAATTAGAATTATTTGATGAATAAAGGGTGTTTGTTTTTTTTTTTTTTTTTTTTTTTTTTTTTTTT